GCATCGTCTTTCCACCAAATAACAGAAAAGTATCGATAGTGGTATCGATAAAGACTCGGATCGATATGGAGTATCGATAAAGGTATCGATATCAATAAATATTAACGATCCCCATCCCTACTCTTGAGTACATACGTTTCAGGTACCCACATCTGGTTAAGACACTACATTGATACTTTGCTGCTACATTAATCCCACCTTAATCCTAATGTCAGATTATTTTCCAAAAAGACAGGAGAATATCTGCAGACTTGGCAGTCAGTTTAACATGGATTACTTTACTTCAGTGCAGTTCTGCTTTGCTGCTGTGTTGAAATATGACAGCCACAACTTAAATTGTTGAGGGAGATGCAAGTAACAAGACAGGCGGAGAGAAAAGTCTTCCAGGAGCATTGAAATAAATGTTTGTGGATCTGCATGCATATGAGTTTATCCTCTTTCTTGTCAGCATCGCTCAAATGGAGAAATACTCAGTCAGGTTTCAGATAACTTCACTACAGAAAATTTACACCAGAATGTTCACTTCTGATGTGCTGCATTGGTGTCTGATGTGCGTTTGTGTTTAAAAGTAAGGTTACAATCAATGTATGCTAAGTAACAAAGCTCGTATAACAGAAAGGCATAAATGTATCATATTATATCAATTTAATTTTAATTTTCTTTCTTCATAAATGTGAAAACACAGATGGATTATTCAGGAAGCAGTATAACTGAGTGGTGCAGTGGAACGATGTCGCTCCATCTGATCTGATGATATACAGCTGATGTAACACTTTGACAGAAATATCATTATGACTATTAAAAGGACCAAAAAAAAACATTTTCCTGCACAGAACTAGTTATTTGGATTGAAGGAAATGTGAATAGAGGTCAGAAACAGAAAGGCAGCTGAAAGCAGCAGAAAATTGTGTGGACTCATCCAATGCTGCTTTAAAATGCTGCTGACTGTTTGCGTTTAAGGAACTGATTCAGAACAACATCTCACTTACGTTTCACCCCAGAGTTCATAATAATTATCTGTTTTATTGCAGGCAGTACATTTTGCAGGTTATTTTAACTTAAGGTTTTTTTTTTTTATAGTTTTTTTCCCCCATTGGTTTTACAATTCATCTAAACAAGCATAGCCCTAACTGAATGTTCTGAAGTTTAATTTTATTTTGTTTGTTTTTTTCTGCGTTCGTTACCAGAAAGCTTAAAAAGTGTGTTAAAGGAAAGCTCTGTGTTTACACCTTGAAGCTTTCCCTCCCTGGTTCTTTTTCCTGAAAAGAGATCACTCAGGACAAACTCTTTAAATAACCCTTAATAATGTATATGTAGTGTTATTTTTGAGACATGACAACGGATTTTGATAGAAATTGTAATCTTACTAAAATCAGAGAAGTTGCTTAGAGTTATAGAAGACAGCTGCTTACCAACTGGGCTCACTTATCGTGAAGCGGCTAAGATAAACAGTTAAAGAAGCATTTTATACAACTCCAGTCTGCCACATCATTACATCATATAAGTTTGCAGATGAGGAGACCTCCATAGCTCCAGCCTTATCACAATATTACACTTTGTTTTTGGCTGAAGGACACCGCTCTCATTCCATTCCCAAATTTTTGCCACGTAGAAAATCAAGATAACTGTATATGCAGACAGAGGAACTGTCCTAATTAGATAAACTACTGGGGAAAACATTTGTTCTGACATGCAGCAGGCAGCTAATATTAGGGTGTAATAAACTCGCAAATCATCAATGATAATTATCTTAACAGGTGAAGGTTTTGGGGGTTTATTTAATCAACATTAGCATCGCGTTTTTAAGGAAAGGGTTGTAATATGGTGCATGAGTTGTAACATCTGTTTTGTTTTTTATAGATATAGCGATATGATACAATAAGTGAAGGATCAGTGTAGTTCGCATTTGCTCTAAAAGAGGTGGCACATTTTCAGGCCAATTTTATTATCTTCTTCTTAAATGGATGGATTTTATGGGGAACATGCATCCCGCTTGTCATAAGGTTTTAGAGAGCTATCTGTTCATCAGTAATTCTCCTGGCTGAGCTATTTCACTTTGCTGGGGGACAGCCTGCAGAGAAATAGAGCAGATTAGCTGAAATTTCACAGCATTATCCAATAGTTTGCCATCACTGGTGTCATTTTATTGCTTTTTTATGCTTTCCTTTTTAGTGCATTCTTTTTCTCTTTTAGAATGTATTATTGATGGGCTATCAGGTCTTGGGGTCGTTTTTTTTTTATTTTTTTATTGTGTTTATAAATTTATCTAAGAACAAGTTGAATGTTTTCAAATGAACTGAAATCAAACGTAGGATTTTTAAAAGGGATTTCTTATCTTTAGCTACATTCTCAGGCTCAGTTTTAAAACAATCCTTTCATGCTTCCTAATTTCCCACACAGGTGTGCCTCTCTCCACTCAGTGGGGCCCTCAGGGTTACTTCTATGCCATCCAGATTGCCCAGTACGGTTTGAGCCATTACAGCAAAAACCTGACCGAGCGTGCTCCCCACGTGGAGGTCTATGACACAGCCGAGGAGAAGGACAGCAGGGTCAGCACAGCATCCTGGGGTGTGCCCAAAGGTTGCAGCCTGAGTCGTGTTCATGACAAGACAAGATCTACCTCTGTGCGTCAGTTCAGCGCTCCAGGTATGTCATCCATCTATTTGACCAGATGGCCTCAGGGCAAGCAGCTTATCTCTGGTTAACTGTGGCTGCAGTCCGCTCGATTTGCAACTGTACCCTCAGGATAGACTGATGCTCTGCAGTGAACAATGGCCATAGTGGGAGAACTCTGCCTGTTATGGTTGACAGAAGAACTGCTGCATAATGACATTCCTAGAATCTAATGATTTAATCATCAGCAGGCTCTATATCACATATTAATCATGCTTTGTTCACTTAATCAGTGGGAAATATCCACCTGATGGGACAGGCTGTAATACCTCTAGTTAACATTGTTCAATCAGAGCATGAATACATGAATATAAGTGGCTGAAATTAGGGCTCCAGAAGCTAGATGAATAAAACTGCCATTATATGAGGACAATGCTGCAACATTATCTTCGACCATTAAAAGGTATAATCCTGTTTTGAATGTTAATGATTTTAAAAATGTTATTTTAGGTTGTTTTTAAAGTATAATAGTTGTTGGGAATTTTAATATTTCAATCAAATTTATGTTAATTACAGCCTCTTTCATATCCAATTCAGTTCAATTCGGTTTATTTATATAGCGCCAATTCTCAACACATATCATCTCAAGGCACTTTACAGTTCACCAGATCATAGAGTCAGATTGATTTAAAGTTTTCTATTGAGGAAAACCAGTTGATTGCATCGACTCATTGACTCGAAGTCAATCCCTCACACTAAGCATGCTTGAAGAGACAGTGGAGTGGAAAAACTTCCTTTTAACAGGAAGAAACCTCCAGCAGAACCAGGATCAGTGTGAGCGGCCACCTTCAGTTCAATTTCGATTCAGTTTATTTATATTTAGGGATTGTTGGCCTGGTGGTTAGAGCAGTGCGCTCGTGCTCTGAGATGGTTGCAAGTACCCAGTTCAATCCCCACAGCCTCCACTCTGGGTCCCATGCAAATCTAATATAAAACCACTGAACTATGAATCCTTTTTATGTCGGAAAAGTTAATGGTAAAATAGTGGGCTCTGTCTGGGAGAGAAACGGTTGAGCTGATGAGCTCTGAATGTCAACGGGATGAAAGGGAGCCCATACAGTTAGTCACAGTAGAAGCTGAGCTTTGCACAGGGGAGAAATATGACCAAGCACTGAAAACAGACCCAACTCTATCATCTATAATCTAAGGTGTAGATGGAAGGACCCCAGCTGTTATTTCTCTCCAGGATGGTGTACCTTATGAAGCATCTATTATGGGAAGAGCTGAAAGAACATTGTTAATGGTTGATTTTCAAATACTGCAGAATGGGAGAATAGAGCTAGAATTAAGCAGAAGGAGGCAAAAGGGTTTCCTGTCCTCCAGCAGCCTAAGCCTATAGAAGCATAACTAGAGAGATAACCTGAGCCACTCTAACTATAAACTTTATCAAAAAGAGTTTTAAGCCTACCCTTAAAAGTAGACAGGGTGTCTGCCTCACGAACTAAAACTGGTAGTTGGTTCCACAGAAAAGGAGCCTGATAACTAAAAGATCTGCCTCCCATTCTACTTTTAGAAATTCTAGAAACCACTAGTAAACCTGCAGATTGAAAGTGAGGTCGTCTGTTAGGAATATAAGAAATAACCAGATCTCTGATATAAGATAAAGCTTTGTAATTTTAGGCATTAAATGTGAGAAGGAGGATTTTAAAATCTATCAATGGTCCTACAGGAAGCCAATAAATAGAAGAATAAGGAAACCAAAGCATGTAATAGAATTATAAAAACATTCAAACATCAAACAATAAATTAGTTAAAAAGGAATGTGATATGAAAAATTCATAGCCTTACTTGACAAATGTGTTCTTAATTAGCTTTTGAAAAGGCCGTTAATGGCATAGAAAAAAAATATATATATAGATCATGAGAAAAGTGTGTTAGTCTGAAATTTGAACAATTTTAGTATTTTTAAATCAACCTATATCTTGATGCTGGTAACCAGCCTATACATGTACTTAATGGAAATGGTGTTATTTTTTTTAATCATAGAATGGATATATAACTAAATAGAAAAATAAAAATAAATGACAAAAATAACTAAATTGAAGTTCTTCAATGACTTCAGTCTGTGGCTCAGTTGGTATCTTAAGCTTCAGAGGAATTTGTTTTCTGAACATTAAATAACATCTCATCTAATGGGATCTAAGTTTCCGCTTCATAGTCACTTTAAGGCCAGCACAGCAGTTATAAATAAAATGCTTGACTATTCCTGCTTGAGCTTTAAAACATCTTCCTGGGCAATGAATATTAAAAAGTATATAACAGTGTCTCTCCCTAAGTACAGCAGTAATGCACTTTTTGAAGAAGGAAAGTTTCATCTCTTATAATAAAACTGACCGGAGCATTGCACCATCCTTGAAGCCATTTCAGAATGTTTCAACCCTGAGGAATCTAATATAATTCAGCAGCTTTTCTTCACATCATGGCTCATATGGAACTGACTAACCTGGGCGCTAAGCCTCTGGCAGACTATTTTCTTTGTTGTATGGTGTCTTCTAACTTTCACTACACAGCTTTCTGAATCGATGTTGAAATTTGAATGTTGCAAAGCTAGACTTTTAGGAGTTTAAACCTGCCTAATAGAGATTCAGACTAGTATAAATATCTGAATACCATGCCGATAAAAGGGCTTAGACTGTACTTTACTGTTATAACATCCAACACTGTACATTTACCAAAAAATCCTTCTTAGGGACTAATTGGAACACCTTTGTTTATGCTGCATTTGTGGTTTTAGCTGAGATTATAAACTGATAAAGGGATTATCAATATGTTGTTCATGTGTATTACATTGAGACTTGGGTCATTACAGCCCCCTTTAAGCCGGGCATACACTGCGATATTTTCAATAGCTGCACGCAGTTACAGCTCACACTGTACGATGAAACCGCAGGGTTTAAAAGTTCACAGTTCACTATGTATGTTCTCACACTGTGCGACCCGACACTCTGATGCAATCTACCTGCTCACACTGTACGTCTAAAAACCACGTCGGACTCAGCTCCGCAGTGAGATGGGGCTACTTAGATTCCTCTATCCGGGAGCCAAATGAGTAGTAGGAATATCAAGCTCACTAGAGTGAAACGTGCAATTTGTGCAATTTTGTGCTGAAAGCCCTAAAAAGAAAAGGCGACGACGTATTTGGACGAAAACATGGCTGAGCAAATGTGGCTACTGCGGTCTGTCAATTATACAGAAAGAACTCCATTTCATTCACAGCCCCGCCATGTCTGAGAGGAAGAAGAGTGCTTGTTTGTGCATGCCCACAGCTGTTTGCCCACAACGGCCGACTGAATTTCAGACATGTTTGATTTTTTTGCCGAACTCACGATTCCTGATCGGGAGGGAGTTGTGAGAGGCGGATCACCCCTCTTACCCTTTGTATACTACACAACGCACAATCAGGCTGAAAGTCAAAGATCAAAAAATTCAAAGAATCATATAGTGTATGCCCGGCTTAAGCAATGTATTTGGGAATTGAAACTATTTATTCAAAAGAAAAAAATTACCTAAAAAAGAATATTAAAATATTTAGTTGAAATTTAAAATCTTTAAAAAAAAAAAAGAAAATTGTTTTGCCAAAAAACTATTCTTTTCTCCTTCACATTTTAAGTACATTTTTACATCGGTTTGACTTTTGACAGAACAAAAAAAACTGCATGTTGCATCCTCAATAAAAAGGAAAACGATACAGATTAGGACTTATCTTTGGTCACTAGTAATCATTTATGGTGCAATGGCTATTGCCTAACTCATGACATTGTTCAATATGTTAGCCTGGATTTTAATTTGATATACTACATTATGAAATATTTATATTTTGTATTCCTTTTTAATTCTTGGACTAAAAGTTTGTTACGTATGCATCTATGATAATGGATTCTTCCACCACAACAATTCAATTAATTTTTTTTCCTCTTGCCTCCAGTCATACACTATTCAGTTATTATGTTGTCACAAATAAAGTCTACAATGTCTGGTTTATCCCTGGTTGGGCTTGCTATCAATAAATAGGACTTGACTGGCTATTTACTGTAGAGATTTGGAGTGTAGCTCAGTTTTACAGCTCTAACGTGACCAAAGCCATGAGACAGAGTTATTTCTGGAAGTGGGAGAAAGTCAAAATCTTTTTACCCAGAGCTGACTGTGAGCAGGCTTTATTCTCCTCTTATCTCCTGCTGATATTTCCAGGACACACTCTCTCTCCCGCTCTCTCTTTCTGTTGAGCTGCCATCTCTATTATATTCCCTCCCTTGTCCTTATTCTCCAGATTTCGGCTGCTCATCATTACCACTTTCTTTTCATTTCACCACTCAGTATCTCCTCACCTCCCCCCCACCCCAGTTCCACTCTCAGGTCAAGTCGTCCTCGTGGCATTCTTTCCTCAAGATCATCTTGTTTTCATCACTTCTCAGCTCGCCCCCCACAGCCTCCCCCCGTTCGTCATTAATCTTCCCCATCTACCCCAGATTTCTGTCAGTCTTCCTCTGCTGTTTACGCATTTCCACCCACTTACCATCCCTCTGTACCCTTTTACTTCATCGAATCATACTGATGCCCTTTTCTCCTCCTTCGTCAAAACTTTCTGGTTTTCTTCCTGTGCTGTCAGTTTTTCTTTCAGTCCCTTCACCTCCCTCCCTTTCCAATTTGAGTCCTTTTTTTTCTTTCCTCTTCGCTGTATCTAGGACACGGCTGTTGAACAATCTCTCAAAGCCTCTGACAAGTGGATCAATTGTCTGTCCCCTGATAATAACCTGCCATCTACCATCCACACATTCCTTCACAAATGCTCTCTACCATTGAGCCCCTCTTATTTTCTCACCCAGTGTGTTTGGTTGATGCTTCAGAGTAACATTTTGTGCCAATCATGATCAAGTGTATTCATACAGTTGCAGAAAAACAGCTTTTACCCCTGCTTGTGTATGAAGGTACTCTGCCAGTATGTCCATGCTGCTTGCAAACTCTGCATTATTGTTCACTTCTGTCCGCAATATAGAAAAAATCTGCTCTAGGCCAAATAAAGTCCCAGAAAGCAGGTGCATCATCCAGGTCTTTAGAGCAGCGATCGGTTAAATACAGGAATATGCTGCTAATCTACCAACGGCTTTGGCTGGTGTGGCCCAGTTTTGAATAGCTACTCACTCTTAACACCACTTTAGCCCTACGGTCTGAACTCTTTGGTTCATGGATGATCTTATTCTAAGGTTTATGCATTAACAAAGAAAAATCTGCCTTACTAATCTTCTGGTTTATGGCTGCACATAGAAAATTGACTAATCTAAAACAAATTTTTCAATGGGGTCTTACGGCTTATGTTGACAAACTTTTACGGATATTCTAAGTACAATGGTAGGTTTGTGTGCTTCTCAGTACTAAACCCTGCTTTGTCCCACTTGCTGGACCGCTAAATGTGAGGCAGCGGGTGTAAAAACAGTTTGTTTATACAACCCTGACAGCGCTGTAGCTGGATGAACAGTTTACAGTGAAGATGACATCAAAAACTGTAATACTGGGTTACATGCGTGCATCAGATCCCTTGTGCGTCATTAAGCAATCTGAATCCAGCACAGGAATGATGCAGGCTGCCGCTATCAATAAACATTAAATCACTGTGGGAAAATACAAGCTTTATAGGAAAGAGATGGAGTTCAAATTTGTATCTATTTGCCAAAGCAGCAAAAAAATTCTTGTTGTTTGGCCCCAAATAGGAAACATAAGGGGAGTTTAATCCAAGCTGCTGAACCAACACTCTACTAACAAATGCTCTTGATTTGATTCAGATCACAATACTCTTTTCTGTCCCCTTTGAGATAACTTATACACCATTTGTTTAATGGGCTTTACATTTTTAAATGCAAAATCAAGTTTTTTTATTTTTGTCCTATAATTTGATATGCTTTAAAATACTATAAAAATGTCATTTTCTCCTGTGTGACATCAGTGAAGTTTTATTTTTCTTGCAATGTAAGGAGATCAAATAAAACTGGATTCATTGCTTGACTCCAAAGTAGAAAGGGGGAATTGCCTAAGAAATGGTCAGCAGGGTTTCTCCCAACAGCCTGGATCCAGAGTTTCCATGGCAACCTGCTGTAACTTGTCAATGGGAGACAATCTTCCCCATGGCTTCTTGTACTACTTGGGCTTTGAGTTTGTGAATGGTTCACAGATACAGGACAAACTGAACCCTGTTGTTTTTGCATGCACAATTGGAAGTTTGTTGCCGGCTCAACTTGGAGACAAAGCAATGGGAGCAAGTCAAAAACTCTCCTTTCCAGGTAGACCAGATATTTCATGTTACAAATATTACAAATACAGTGAGATATGCCGTGTTCTGCAAAATATATACATCATATAATATTTTATTATTAACTCCAGTAAAATATAAAAATACACCTGACCATCCTTTAAGAGCCGTATTTATAAGATTTGTAACACAAATGCGTGACATGTATGGTATTCAGCGAGTTACGATTGATTAAATACTTTGATACTTCATTGATCCTACCGTATAGAATTACACTGAGGGGAGCGGTCAGCCGCCCCAAGATGGTGTCAGTGAGGGGTTTATTTATATACATGATTATGGTCCGGACCACTGATTCAGACACCGGAGTGGGGCTAACCATTCATAACGCTGCTAACAAGTATGATCTTTAGATCCTTAATTACAAGATTAGCAGCAGGCACTGTTACTTCTGTTGCAGGTTGTTAAGTTTTTGTGTTGGGGCTTGTGTTTTTGACCTTACACCTCTGGGCCACCGTAGAAAACAGATAGGCAACACATGTAGAATTATTTAATAGCTAAAGTTGAGACAGATTAATGGATTTTACAAATAATAAAAATACATTAGATTTACATATTTTCAGGCTATATAAACTCATTTTCTAGCATATTTTTCCCATTCTACCAGTGTTTAAATAATACACTCATATGTACAATCATAATTAGTTTTTTCATCTTCCATCTGTGCTCACCTTATTCAACTCCTTAACGGTCAGTTCATGCTTTATCTTCCTTGTTTAGGATAGTTTTCCTCACTACTGACAGTAGTATATTCTACAACCGAGTATTATGGGCAGGCTAGAGAATTTTTTTTTTTTAAATACGAGCAAGTCATAACGTTATGAGAATAAGGTCATAATATTACAAGAATAAAATCATAACATTACGAGAATAAAGTCATAAAATTACGAGAATGAAGTTGAAAAATGACGAGAATAAAGTTGAAAAATTATGAGAATAAAGTCATCATACCGCAACCCATTTCAGAATGAAAGCGTTGAGATTTAACCAGCATATGACGGCTGACCATCACCACCAAACAGCAACCTGAGTCCACTTTGACATACTGCCCAATTTGATGCTGGTGTGCTAAAAGATTTCCTTTTTTGTCAAACCGATGCCAAAGTATAACTTCACATAAAAAGAATTTTACAATTATGTAATATATGTAATATAATTTAAAATATGACTGTATTCTCATAATATTATTGCTTTATTCTCATAATATTGAGACTTTATTCTCGTAATTTTAGGACTTTATCCTCGTAATATTACGACTTTATCCTTGTAATACTGCAACTTTATTCTCGTAATATTACAACTTTATTCTCGTAATATTACGACTTTATNACTTTATTCTCGTAATATTACGACTTTATCCTCGTAATATTGCGACTTTATTCCTGTAATTTTACAACTTTATTCTCGTAATATTACGACTTTATTCTCGTAATATTACGACTTTATTCTCGTAATTTAAAGTTTTTATTCTCGTAGCGATTTCAATTCGCGAATTTTTAAAAAAAGCCCGGCCCTAGTACTCTGTCCTAATATTCCACAAGTATCCAATTTATTTGTTAAAGTTATGAAAGTTTTGTATCCTAAATGCATAATTTAAATTTTTAAATCAAGCAAAATTGGGGTTTTAAAACCTAATAGCATTACTTTATTAATCTCTTTCCAATAATTTTTTACTTTTTAGGCATTTTTGACATTTTTCCAACAATATTTTCTCCAACTGTTGGATTTGGTGCTTCTCCACTCTGATTTACACATCTGCTTCTATTCTTCGTCTGTTATGAGTAGGGTGTCCCATCATCTTATATTAAGTGTGCAATGTCTAATTATCTTATTTTAAGAGGAAAAAAGTTTTCATTCTATTGGTAGATTATTTTCTGTACCAACCATCTCCATTGGTTTAAGGGCAAGAGGCAGAAAAAGAGTATATCCTTGACATGTCACTAGTTGAACAGAGATGTGTATTTACTCTAAATAAAATAAAAGAAACTATTTCAAGTACTCATTGTTGCTTTGAACTGATTGAAATAATGCAACAAATGAAATAACACTTGGATTAGAGGCTGTTATCTGTAGAAAACAAGCAGTCTCATGTAACGTCCTAGAAAATACTTAAACCAAAAGACAGATTGAAACCTTAAAAATCAAAGGATAAAAGATCATTTCTTTGGTGAAGAATTTCTAAGAACTGTGAAGATGTGAAAAAAGCAGAGGTCGTGAATAAATGATCACATGAACGTTTTCATCACCCGTTTATTTATCACGCTTTTTGGCCACATGATGTGCACAGCCGGTCCTAACTCTGCGTATGTTTTAAGATCTCTTTATCACCATCGTACCCCTGCCCAGTTTGCGCTGACGTATTCCCAGCAGCGTGTCATTTCTGTTTCCCAACTGATTGCTAAACAGCCACAGAGCTGAGCGGTGGAGGTGGAATCTCGTCTGTATTCCCTGCCCATCCTTTATTGATGGCAGAGTAATCACAGGGCCAGAGTACAAATCCACTTACCCTCTGCTTTGCCTTAAGTAATGGATTTATGAGTGCATTAAAGAGCCGTAGTCATCCAGAGGCCCCTGCCAGACTGTCTCTGTGCTCATTCTCTTGCTGATCGACTGTCTTTGTGTCTCGGTCGGACTCATAAGCTTCTGCCCTCCCAGCTTCTGTCATGCGAGATCCCTCTGTCTTCTGATTCCCAATTGTCTGCTCTCTGTTGCCTCATTTTCACCCTCTCCAGACTTTGGCTGGCTTCAGCAGTGTTTGTGTGACCCTTCATTCCATTAGCCTCCTTCTCCTTCACTTTTGAATCCTCTCATCTTTTATCGTCTGGGGAGCCCTGATTAGGCAGAAGAATCTTTTTCATTTTCTCCTTGAAGACCAAGGAGCTCGGCCAACAGAGGGCTGCCTCTAGAAAAAGTTTGAGCTTTAGGGGCTTGAAGGGAAGTTGGCACCAACTTATCCGCCTGAACTAAACCGACTTTAAAGCAATTCGCTCGGCGCAGAGCATGAGCATGAAAACTGAACTGTGGGCTCTGCAGGGAAGAAATGTAAAAATGCAGCTGGAAAAGTTACAACACTGCCTCGCATTCACTCCAGCAGATTTTATGTGTTTCTTTTTTGCTCTTCAGCCCTTTTTCTCACATACTCTTAATTGATCTCAGTGTGCAGGGACACATCTGCAGTGCATATCCCTTAAGAAGCTTGTCTGCGTGCGTGTGCACGCTGGGCTTTACCTCCTTTTATGTCCCACACACACAGCAAAGCACTTGATATGGGGGATAATAGTACAAGACACCTGCTGGTAAAGACGGAAAGGTTTTGACCATAAATTATTTCTAAACCTGCTGAATTTCTTTTTTTATCTTCTGCTAGTGGGAGGAGTATTTGCTCCACTAGAAGAAAGATCATATAAATAAACCAAGAAAGGAGAGTGCATTAAAAGATGCAGATAAAAGAGCTTGGAGTCAGTCTGCTGAAAATAGCCTTTTAGAATTTGTTAGAAGCCTTTTTACATAAGTCAAGTGAGGTTAGTGTGTGTGTGTTTAGTAAAATCTCAGCTAATTCTGTCTGTCTTTGACACCCTTTCTGTATCACTCCCCAACACTTCTCACAGAGTCCTCAGAGGGCATTTCTCTGCAGCTGGGCAACTTGAAAGACTTCATCCTCAGCCTGGACTTAAAGTTCACCTCCAATGGCAGCGTGTCCGTCGTCCTAGAAACCACAGAGAAGGGGCCGCCCTACACCATCCACTACCAGACCAGCACGCAGCTCATCGCCTTTAAAGACCATGACATCACCTACGGCATCGGGCCTCGCTCCTCCTGGAGCACGTTGACCAGAGACCTGATGACCGATCTCAGGAAGGGAGTCGGATTGTCAAACACTAAGGCTGTCAGAGCTACAAAGGTTGGTTTTTTTACCCAAACTTCACCACTTAAATGATGAAAACTTAAGTTATTATTATAATCCACAATCTTTTGTTTTACAAAAAGAGAAACTTTGTTGTATAAGTATTTTTTAATAACTTACAGAATACAAAAGTATGAATGAATGTAAGTTTTCAAAACTTTAAAGTATGGAATATATGCATAATATTTTACATCGTAGGAAGCCCTTATTTGTGAATTTGTAGCAACAAAGTCTGAGTATTGAGTACATTAAATAAGAAAACAATGGGACAGTAAACAAAAGCAGGTCTCAGTTAAGTCAGAGAAATTATAATTTTTTTCTAAAACAGCTTTTAGTTTAAATGTAATAATGGGAAAATAAAGTTGAATGTTGTTTTATAAGTGAATGTATTACCTAATTTGTCAGAGAGTAAATATTATTAATAATGATAGTAAAGTCAACTGCGATTTTCTCCTTTTCTTTCCTAAAAATGTAAAGAAATCCCTTCTTTCTTTGAAGGATACTATAAAAGAAAAAAACTCAGTGAACATGTGTTGTTAATAAAATGAGTTTTTTTTTCTAAGCATTAATTTCTGAGTCTAATTTGACTTTGATAATTGTACAGTTATAAATAATGAAGTTGTTTACATGTATTTTATATATATAAGAGATGCAGGATAGGATGATTAAATTAGCACTTGACTCTTTCATGACTTTTTGTCTGCTTTTCCTCTCAGATCATGCCCAGACGGGTGTTGCGGTTAGTCCTGCATGGGCGGGGCTTTGTCGACAACGTTACCATCTCCACCACTGCCCACATGGCTGCCTTCTTCGCTGCCAGCGACTGGCTGGTGCGCAACCAGGACGAGCGAGGCGGCTGGCCCATCATGGTCACCCGAAAACTGGGCGAGGGCTTCCGGCCCCTGGAACCTGGCTGGTACTCGGCCATGGCTCAGGGCCAGGCCATGTCCACCCTGGTGAGAGCCTACCTCCTCACCAAGAACCATGCTTACCTCAACGCTGCCCTCAAGGCAGTAGGACCATATAAGGTGCCTTCAGCGCAGCACGGAGTCAAAGCGGTGTTCATGAACAAGTACGACTGGTATGAAGAGTACCCCACCACCCCCAGCTCGTTCGTCCTCAACGGCTTCATCTACTCCCTGTTGGGGCTTTACGACGTCGCTGAGACAGCAGGGGAGATTCTGGGCAGAGAGGCAGGTCAGCTGTTCAGCCGCGGCATGGAGTCTCTAAAGGCCATGCTGCCCCTCTTTGACACGGGGTCCGGGAGCATCTACGATCTGCGTCACTTCATGTTGGGCACGGCGCCCAACCTGGCCCGCTGGGACTATCACACCACGCACATTAACCAGCTGCAGCTGCTGGCATCCATAGACAACGCTCCCATCTTCAGGGATGTGGTGAAGCGCTGGAAAAACTACTTAAAAGGGATTCGTGCCAAGCACAACTAGTGGAAGTCAGCAGATTTTACCTCCGTGTTTAGAAGAGAATCAGTGTTTAGAAAGTAAGAACAAATCAGAAGATTTCATAAAGAGGCGCGTGCACACGTGTGTGTGTGAGTGTGTGTGTGTATGAGTGAATCACTACTGTTTGACGGCCTGAAAGATGAGTTGCTATACTTTATGCGCACTGTTGCAGGTTTGACATTTTCTGTTATGTTGACTGCTGCTCAACTGTTTCTGCGTCTCTGTAATTATTATTACAGACCTAGTTTCAGTGCGAGAGTGTGAAGGGTGTTTTCATATAAGATATACGCAGAAAAGGAACGTTTTTGACTTGCTTTGATTCATCTACTTTTCTTTCATTATGATAAGTTTACTGAAGTAAACTGTGAAAATCTGAGAGTGTTATAAACTAAAAAAAGGTTTTGCTGAAAGAGGCTCATCATAAAAAAGATGGCGCTTAAAAATCACTGCATCTGTGTTTGCTCATGATTTATTTCACCTGCTTTTCATAATTATGATAAACAATCCCACGGAAGGATTATCTCAAATATTCTTTCCCCAATTTTTCTTTTTTTTCTTTTTTATTATAAAGATATGGAATAGACTTCTAATAAATGAGATGAAGCTGACTTAAAGACAATGGAGGCAGCAAAAGTGTGCCTGGTTTCTTGGAGATAAATGCATCAAGCTTCAATCATGCTTGTAGACACTGTTGTTACCAGGAAACCATTCTTAGCTGCTTTTCCTGGTTTTAATAGGCCACAAAAACGGCAAACCAGACTGCAGACAAAAAAAAAACACCCTCTGCATCAATTTGAGTTTACCTTGGAAAGTTAAATGATTCTGTGCTGAATCAGTTTGAGCACCGATGTGATTGCAACTAATCACAAATCAGGAGGAAAAATGTGAACGGAACCTTTTTCAATCAATGAGCACCGCAGCACCCTCCGCTTTTATATACACCCCGGCTAAAAATGCCTAAAAAAGCCTTCATTTAAATCTGTCCGCTCTGCATGTATAATCCTATTCTTTTTCTGCTTTTTTTATTTTTACCGGCTAAATTTGTGTTCAAAAACCTTCCTAAAATCGGCCGTTAGTAGGGTTGGACAATTATTCAACATTATGATCTTGCAATATAACTTTATTTATTACTGATGACATGACATTTACAATATTTTAATTTACATAACAGTCTATGATTACAGCATGTGTCACTGATTGATGTCTGGGTTTTATCCTTTTTGTTTTGAAAGCTGAAATTTCTAAACACTTACATTGAAGGAGTTTTATTAACTTGGTAAAATAATTGTCATAAGTTCACTGCAAAAACGATCTACAAATAAGTAATCATTTCTTAAATAAAGTGCATTTACTCTTAATTTGAGCAGGTAGATGAGATTATTAACCAATTAAATTATATTTTTTAACTCTTAAAATAAGATAATTAGATAATTCAATTGCTTTTTCTTATTTGAAATGTAAAATGTCTTGTTTTCATGGCAAAGTGTCTCACTTACCTCCTCAATTCATGGAAAAAATTGAACTCATTTTAAGACAAAATGACTGCAGTGTTTATTCTTGGCAGTCTTTCTAAAGCTGTTATTTTTCTGTTAATGGTATCAAAAATGATTGTACCAAATGAAATGAAGAAATATGTGATACATTCTTTCCATCCTCCTCCCTTTGCTTGGTTGCAAGATGATCTCTGCCTTCATTTCATCACAGCTGCAGTAAAGTTGAACATTTTACAGATACAGTAGGTCTGGACTAAATGATTCCAGTTTGGTAGAGAAGCAAAGAGAATATTGTAATAATGTTCTAATTTAAAGTTTAAATATGTTAAAATATGTTTAAACTTTAAAAAAAAAGTAAAGATGGTTTTTCTATTGCTAGGGATTCCAGAAATTGCCAATCCTCTTGATTCTATGGGCTCAAAATAACGGTTGGATTACTCCTAAAAATTTCAGTGTGAATTTATGCAACATGCAGATAAGGAGGGATTCATTTTGGATGTTTTATGTGTGTCTTTACTAGGGGTGTCTCTAAATGTGTGAGGGATTTAACTCAGGAAAAGCACAGATCTAATCTAAATCTAAAATGTGTGATACCTTTTTGTTTTTTTAAGGGTGCAGGTAGAACCTAGATTGGATTTGACTGCAGATGGAAACAGTGCTCCCATCACATATTGATGTTTATCCAGGAATTTTTTTTTAATCCAGTAGATTATCTCATTACATTTTTAACAATTGAAACAATTGCGTTTACCTTGAGGAGTGTTCTGTGGCCTTTTCCATCTTAAAGGCCTTTCCTTTGTCTCACTGGAGTCTGGTTATTACCATGAACACATGTAGGTGGTGTAGATGGACGTGGGCAGCAGAGCCACAGCTGTCATGTCCGTCCGTAGCGTCTAGATCCAGACAATGCTAGCAGCAGCTGGAAGTAAATTCTTGAATGTGGACACGGCTGTTTACTCTTTTTGCTCCCTCTCACCCCCCCCTCTCAAAAGTCACCGGACTAATTGGGTGGAGAAGCCGCACGCAGTTGCAGTCCGTAGTCGCAGATGAGTCAGCGCCCTCTCTAAGCAAAGCGGAGCTCCTCAGCATCAATGAAGCTCTGATCGATCTGCTTTATAGATTAACTCCTGGACATTCAGGGTGATTCATCCGTCTGAAGGAGCTGAAGGGGATTTTCTTTTTTAAAAATTGTGTAATCGGAGATCAGATCATTTTCCCACAGTCGGCTTTCAAATTTAAATGCCACCTAAACTTACAAAATCAAAGAAGACCAATTCCTCTTTGTTGCTGTTGCTGCAGCGTTGGATTGATTTGATATTTTCAAGCAAAGACAGCTCAATCTGTTTAGTCTGTCCTGCACAAAATGTCATGTTTTACTTCAACAATATCACCAAGAAAAGCCAGAAAAACTAGCTGTTCCTGTGTATTTTTACTTTATTATCTGGTTGTTTGATATTATGAAATATTCTTTAAAATAACCAGAGGTCACTAGAAGCATATGGATCAGCTTATACGCATTCAGCTTCTCGTTTGTTCTTCTTTTTCTACATATTTACACTTCTCAGTAGGAAAGGCAGAGTTTACTTCTTCAAAACATGAACAGAACTTTTTTTTTTTGTACCAAAGTCACTTATTTATTTTTCTCTATTTTTTTTAAACAAACAGACTTTCAGAGTTTGGTTTCTCCTTGAAAAATATTCTGAGGGACATACTGCCTTTGGATTTTAGGTGTAAATTAAGTAGATTATAGCAAATGAATAAAAGAACAACTCAAACTGAAGTTGCTTATAGTAACAAGGGTTTGTGCAACTAGTGGTTATTAGAGTCTAGTCTGCTCCGGTTTTAGAGGGAAACGAGCTGAGAGGCGAAGGTTTGCCTTTGTTGCAACAGTTGGATCATAAACGGTGGGTTAAGTTTTTCTTTGGTTAATAAAAGCACAAATGCAGGTTATTTTCACCTGATTTGTTGTATTTCTTTTTGATTTTTCTTTTTTAAGGACATTGTGCAACGGCTTCACGAAGCTGCTATTGTTGTTCACTGTGTACAAATGGGTATGAGAACTTCTTTTCTTCTCACTTCAGTAGAAACTCTGATTTAACAGAAATTGTCAACAAATGGCCTTTTAAGGTCAGTGTGATTTATGCAATAAGGTGTTTACTGGGACTAGTGGCTCCACCACAGACCCAGAGCGGTTGTACAGACTTTGCTATCAAAGCACAATGTGCAAATGCTCCCTTTTTTTAGTCCAGGTAAGAGGTGTTTATATACAAAGTCAATCTTTGTGCTTTAAAATGTTGCTTTCTAAAGGTGTAAAAATATTAATAAAATAACTTTTTCTTAAATTGATGTTTTGGTGATTTTTCTTTTTTCCAAGTCTTCAATTGTGACTTTCATCTAAGTTTCTGGTTCATAGTTGATCAGGATTTTTGTGTAGCCTTATTTTGGCTAAGGTGTTGTGTTTTAAACTTTAAATAAATGTAAGGGGAAAAAAATAAACTATATTCCTTGATTTTAGTCTTAATCATCCAAAGACTATTTTACCCAATCACAAAAGAAGGTTTTCTTATTTAATTCAACAATAATACAATCCTTCTTAAATCAATCGGTTTCTTTTATTTGGTTAGATATATGAAAATTGAACTAAAAGCCAAAGTAAACAGCAGTTTTTTTTTTTTTTACTTTGTTCAAATTTGGAAGTATATCCAGTACGATTACTATGCCTTTAAAAAAAATATTGGAAAATTTGGAAAAGTACGTCAGGTTTTTATCTTTTAACAGATTAATGCACTACAGCTATGGTTATTGGAGACATTGTATGCAGATTTAGAAATATGATGTGGCAGTATCATGATTTTGGTTTTTTGTGCACGTCACAAAATAGATGTCATCAAGGGGGAAGAGCCTTATCCAGTAATATTTAGGCAACACCTAAAGCTAGACAAAAAATGGAAGCTTGGGCACAAATGGATTTTCTAAATTGATGAGCCTAAAATTGTAGACAAACTAGATAAGCTCTCAGAAAGCACAGACCTCCACCCAGTAGCTAATTTGCCCCTAAATTGTGACTTACAGCTATAGTTAAAACTGGAACATTATCTGAAAGTTACCATATTTAGATGAATAATTCCTTGACATGATGCACATCTCTGGTAATAAAAAAAAATAAAAAAATCCACAAGATCCATTTATAAGTTTTCAATTGATCGTGCTAACATACCAAAAATTTTACATTGTCTTGTATGTACTTGGCAGGAGGGACACCTGATTAAAAAAAATTCATTCAAATCCATCCATAATTTTTCAAGTTATTCTGCACACAGACAGACACACAAACTCTCCTAAAAACATAATGTCCTTGGCAGAAGTAATTGGATAAAAAAGAGGCCCAAATGTCAGCCTCAGGTGGTCAGACATTGCAGTCCCATAGAAAGTTTTGGAGTAAAAAATTCCAAATTAGAAATACCTGAATATTTTTCCCTTCTTCATTATTTCGACATTTAGAAAAAATATGCAATCCTAGCTGAACCTAAATGGAATGTATGCTCTTAAAAGGTCCTAAAAGTACAACTAAAAAAAGTTAAACTAACCTGAGAGCTGTTTCAAGAGATTGTGGGTGGTTGGGTCCTAACATTGCTGATGGTCTAGATATCCCTTACCTTGGTTAGATCAAACTAAACTTATATATTTTTGTTGTTTTTTTTTAAAACCAAAAAAGATGCATAACCTCTTCCCAGAATAGAAGAGTTTTGGAGGATTTGGCTGAAGCTCAGTGGTTCTCTACATTAGATTTAGCAAGTGGCTATATCCAAGTTGAAATGTCAGAAAAATACAAGGCAAGGACAGGATTTTGCATCCTTTTGGTTTGTTTGAGTTAAACCATATGTCTTTTGGTTTGTGTAACATGCCGAGCATTTCAGCGGCTTATGGAGCATATTTTGGGGGATTGCCGCCGCCACTCGTTTCTGCTATAGCTAGAAGATGTGATTGTTTTTTTTCCTCTAGTGTGTAGCAACATCTGCAAAGACAAGATTAAATCTTTATTTGACTAGAAGCCCAAGAATTAAAAGTTAAGCTCTCCAAATGTATTTTTCCCATAAAAGTTTCAGGTACCTGGGTCATGTAATCTCAGCTGAAGGTTTTTCCACTGATCCAGATAAAGTGGCTGTAGTTAGAGAGTGGAAGCGACCTGAAAACCTGGCTGAGTTGAGATCATATTTAGGGTTTGCTTCTTACTGACCAAGCTTTTGCCGCCTGGTAGGATGGGTAAAACCCAAAAAGAAACCTTTACTTAAGTTTTGCAATGCAGAGTGTGGAGAAAGATTTGTCAAACTGAAAACAGCTCTTATAACCTCTCCTGTTCTTGCTTATGAAGACTTTCAGAAACCGTTTGCTTTGGAGCTGCACGCAAGCCATCGCGGTTTGTGTTTAGTTCTATTCCAAGAGCAAGTGGGTAAGTTGAGACCATTGCTTTCGCAAGCAGCAGTTTTAAAGGAAAAGTCCTGTCAATTTAGAATTCAAAATTCTGAAATTACTTTAAATATGATATTATTACATACTGTTCAATAAATGATAAGTGTTTTTGATTAAGAGTAATTTTCATTAAAATGTGCTTTACTGGAGGCATCCATGTTTGTCAAAGAACACTACTGCCTCCTACCGGTTTGTGATGTCATGGTGCGGTATCGGCTGTTGATCAAGTCCCAATGCTGTATCTGGTGTTTGTCACAACGCCCTATTATCCAAGTCATCTTGAAAACATTCTTCTTCCAAATGATGACTACATATTCCGTGTTTTTTCTCTGGCCAGAAGTTCAATGGCAAATCCTCCCTCTTTAAGTTGGCAATCCGACGACGAACCTGTCCGTGGAGGATCATGTATCGGAAAGGTGAAATAACAAATTTTTTTTTTCACTTT